ACTGGGTGGGAACAGTTGAAGAGCAAGGTTTTAGTGTGTAACCCACACTTCTTCAGCACTTTGTACTTCCCAGAGCTCTTTCACATCCCACACATCTTAATTTACTCACCGGGACTCTGAGGCAGGCAGGGTGTAGATTATTTTCCTTTGAAAGGTGAAAAACCACACAAAAAAATTATGTAATTTGCCTGAGAACAAAAAGCTAATGACAAAGCCAGGAGGTTCTCAGCTAGAAAGGATTTTTATAAAGAAACTTGCATGGCTTGCAATTTGTTAAAAAATAATGCATAGTGTAATTTTTAGAAAACTAGAGTTTGGGATTTGAGGTGGGGCAGATCCATTGTTATAACTAGCCTGATCCTTCTTGCCTGGATGGTCCTTTACAAATGACTTATTTCCCAAATCAAGTTGGGTTTGCTTGGACATCATAAATAATAGCACCATGACAACCGTGGGAAAACAGTATGCTGCCATCATAGTTTTTCTGGGGCCTTCTTTCCTTCTTTTAGCTGAATGTCTAAAGAAGCTTCCAGAAAAGAAATGCTCTACATATATAGGCCAACCTTGAACTTCTTTTTAAAGTGGAGTATGAATTGCTGCCCAAAGGGCGTATCAGATAATCTCCTAGACCATAAGACCACTCATTTCCATTCCTGTAGTTGATGCCACAGACACTAGAGACAAATTCTCTCAGTCCTCTTTCTTGTGAATTTAGTCTTTTGGGAAATTTCCTCCAGAAAATGGCTACCCCTGGGCGCCTTTAGACCAGAGCCTCTCCTTTATCCCAGGGCTGGAATATATGAAATGTCAAGGGAATCTATGTCCATAGATCGTAAAAATGGCCAAAGAGGCCTGGAATGTCTGCCCATGTGCCCTGTACCAACGTGGATTTAAGAAAAACACGTCCATTCTTCTAGCCAGCAGTATGGTCTGGCAGGCATCGTCAGCCTGCAAGGTTTACTACTTTATTTTGGATCCATCACAGAGAATAGCCCAGAGCTGAGCTGACGTACATGAAGCCTTATGTGCCAGGCACGGGGCTAACGGCTTTACATTCACTATTTCATTTAATCGTTATGATAACCTGTAAAGTACATAGCCACTCCCATTTTAAAGCTAAGAAAACAGGCACAGAGAGAGTCAATAACTTGCCCAAGACCACCCACCAGGTAAGACTGGAGCTGGAACTCAAAGCAGGGCAGGACCACAGGGCAATGCTGCCTCCAGTAAACCACCACAAGGCGGCGTCCTGCCCATGTCCACTCCAGTTAAAGGTGTGTTTTATTTTTAGTCCCCCGGGGGGTGTGGGGTGGGACAGTTTACACATTGTTCATTCCCAGAGTTTCTGTCCGAATGCCGAGGCTATTTCAGTATGGGAAAGTTTCAGACCAATGAACATGCGTCCACCAGTATCGGTCACTGTAACTCCAGGTGTAAAAAAAGCAAAACTCCTTGAAGGAAGCCACTGTACTGTGAATAAAAAAGTATGTTTGATCGTAGGAACCAGGTTTTCCTTCCTGGGGCAGTAAAAGGAAGGATTGGTTTTACGAAAAACTAACAAAAAGCTTCAGGTTTCAATCACCAAGTATGTAGTATTATAATTAAACAGAGCACTTGGTGCACATGGTCAGAGCATATAAGAGGAGTTTTCTTCAGAAGCTGTGAATCATCCAAGCCATGTTTTAGCTCTCAGGGTAAAGCTGAGAATTCATGAGCTCATTTCCCTTCTTTCCATGTCATGTGACAAATAATCAGAGTGGTAAAGCAATTGGGATACAGTGTCATAGGACGAAGGCTCCTATTCAATGTTGATAAGTGAAACCTGGGACTTGTCGGAATGGCGATTCCTGTCCAGCCTCTGACACATCTAGGTATGAGTGTGTGATGGGGCCAGACCCCACTGAAACAGGCGTCCTCGAACGGGTTGAGCACTTAAAGACAGGAAAAGAATGTATGTTCTATAGGAACAGCTCCACTCTATCTGAGAGAACCAGTAGCATTTAAAATGCCTAATAGACAAAACGTGAGCGCAGTGACAGTGCACCTCAGTGGTCATTTTAGAATCCCTTAGGTCTGTCCACTGGTTCCTGTGGGACTGAGGGAAACAAGGTGGCTTTGCCCAACCAGCCGACATCCTGCAGTGCCCAGTGGGACAGGCCACTGAAGCAGCCCCCCAAAGACCTGCAACGCCCAGGACCGTGACTCATCGGCAGAAAGAAGAAAATGTGGCAGAAAACTTCAGGGGTGGGAGGGGGTTGGGAAGTGAGAATCCGCCTCAGGAAATCCTGAGGCTCCAGATGAGGCTCAAGGGAGAAAATATAATGGGGGTCAAGGCAGAAGGTTACACTATAGCAGTAATCCAGCTTAAAGGCACATTATGTTAATTTCCTTGACGGCTTTAATTTGCTGGTTTCAATCTAGTGAGCATCTGGAGAAGCCAGGTGCCCCACTGCTCAGGCCTGCTGGAGCCATTTTATTTTCTTTGCAAAAGACAAGATGACTAGGGGCAACAAGAAGGCAAATTTGGGAACAAAATGTGTACATTTTCCAAAACCTCCCCAAATAACTGTGACACAGAGCTTGGATGGAGAAACTGCCCTAAGCCACTATAAACCAGCACTGTAATACAGGTAACATCTTAGGTAGGAGGGGTTAGCGTAAAGCAGAATTTAAGAAATGTCGGGAAGCAAGGCGAAGAGCGTGGAGGGGAGAACGGGGAGAGGGGGTGATGTATAAGTAGAGATCAGTTTTGCATCAGACTGGCTCTGGCTCTACAAAATCATTTTATGTATATGTACTTCCTGGATTTTCAAAAAGCAAACCAAAAGGAAATCCATCTTTTGTATCATCTTGTTGAAAGACAGCCATTAGCACACTCACGTTTACTGAAATAAAGTAAGACTTGCCTTGTGGGTGGGATGTGTTTTTCTTCCATGTCTCAGTCTTTGTATTTCTCATGCTCTGATCATGGCCCACCTGAGGCACTTTCAAATTTCACTGACCCCTGGAACTATTGTCTCCTGCCAGTCTATGTCCAGATAGGCAATAAGGGGTCACTAAGAGAATTCAGGTGAACCTAGGAGTGCAGCTCAGCTCTTTTTTAAAATTTTATTGGAGTATAGTTGATTCACAATGTGTTGTTAGTTTCAGGTGCACAGCAGAGTGGTTCAGTTACACATATACATGTATCCATTCTTTTTCAGGTTCTTTTCTCGTACAGGTTATCACAGAATACTGAGTGTAGTTCCCTGTGCTATGCAGTAGGTCCTCGTTGGTTATCTATCTTATGCATAGTAGTGTATGTTCATCCCAAACTCCTGATTTATCCCTCCCCCACCCCCATGCTTTCCCTTTGGTAACCATAAGTTTGTTTTCAATATCTGTGAGTCTGTTTCTGTCTTGTAAACAAGTTCATTTGTATCATTTTTAAAAATTAGATTCCACATATTATATCGTGAATATTTGTCTGTCTGACTTAGTATGATCATCTCTAGGTCCATCCATGTTGCTGCAAATGGCAGTATTTCATTCCTTTTTATGGCCGAGTAATATTCCATTGTGTATATATATACCGTATCTTCTTTCTCCATTCCTCTGTCTGTGGACATCTAGGTTGCTTCCATGTCTTGGCTACTGTAAACAGTGGTGTGATGAACATTAGGGCGCATGTATCTTTTCTAATGCCAGCTGTGTGTATGCATATGTGGATGTGCATACACATGTCCAGCTACCACCCAGGTTTGCCTACGCCAGGGAAAGGAGGGACACAGGATGGCTGTCGTCAGGGAATGATACGGAAACATGTGCACTTGTTTGAGATTTACTTCTGGTATTTTTATCCTCCCTCTTCTACCTCACCCTCTGCCCTCAGTCTGCTTGTTTACGTAGATGATGATTGATAAGTCAATACAGTTGACTTTTGAACAATGAAAGGGTCAGGGGTGCCACCCTGCCCACCCCCCCAAATAATAAGAAATCCGCCTATAACTTTACTGTTGGTCCTCCATATGTGTGGTTGGTCGAATCTGGATTCAACCAGCTATGGATTTCGTAGTACTGTAGTATGCATCTATTGAAAAGAACCCCACATGCATGTGAACCTAGGCAGTTCAAACCCGTTATTCAAGGGACAACTATAGTTTTTCTAAGCATGTTCTCGTTGACAGCAAGAAGGAAAGGCATTACTGATTTAAAAAAATATACATTTGTATTAATTCTCCCGTAAAATTTGAGAGCTGGTTGTGGTATAATTGCTAACAAAAATTATACTAAAAGAAAAGGTCATCTTTGCAAGTCAGTGGGTTTATAATTAGTTCACAAGAACGGTGCCTTTAAACACCTAATTAACTAAAGGCCAAGTCCTCATCTAGGCAAACCACCTCTCTATCCTTTTTCCTCTGGAGAGTGGAGGTGGTAGCCTTTCCCTTCCACCTGCAGTCCTCCCAGGAAATATTTCAAAGTCTGCCTGCTTCACTGTGTCTATGCCAACCTACAGAGGGTTTTGCTACAGTGATCACCAAAGCCACTTCCCTTGAAAGCAAATGGCGATGGAATAAGTTGCATTTGCTTTCCCATAAAAATAAATTGATATAATTTGATCAAGTCTTCTTTCCAATTTAAAAGGACATGAAAATAGTCTGCTGAATGAGGGCACATGCGGCAATATGTACTTGAGTTGAGCACATCACTAATATCAGCAGAAAGGTAACTACTAACCAGCTTAACTGCTTTGCTCGTGAGAAGAAAATAAAAAAACTTAACTCTTGCTGGATAGAAGCTCATTGTCTAAATTAAGGTTAGTTAGCCCTTCAGTCTTCTTTACATTTCAAGTCATCCCATTAGAATGTCCATGAAGAAATGTTATCAGAATGCTAGTCCCAATTCTTGGGTCTCCTGGAGGCACACAGGGTCTTCCCATCAGCAACAAAGGTGTGACGTTGACGTTGCCTACCTACCTGGTAGTGTTTGAGAGATTTCCCAAGTAACTGAGAGAAACGAACTTTCATCACAGAGTTCAAATATTTAATGACAAAATTAGAGTTTGCTGTATTAGTGAATCACAGAGCAGGTGTTACTTGTCTCTGAAAGGAACAAAAATGATATTTGACATCTCAGGGAACTTCTGAAGAATTAATAACTGTACAACAGACATCAGCAGTGTCACAATGCTAAAATTTAAAAGCAAAACCTATCTTTAATATCCTCTATTGAGGGCATTCTGTAAATATTTTTACATAAATGCATAACCTTTGTTAGCCACAAAAGTAGTATTAAGACAGATTTCACTGTAATTTTAAGTCTAACACATAATCTTTATTTTTTCAGAGCTTAAAAAGGTTAACTACTGATCTTGTTACATTTTACAAATACCTTCAATATGAAACATTAACCTGAATCACTGTCTACTTCCTGTACACAGGTACCTAATAGTACTAGGGAAGAATACTACAGCTACGTTCCAGGAAGAAGTGAGAACGCTGGGAAGTCTCTTTTCTTTACGAGTTGTCAATACAATTTAAGAAATCCTTCACTGAAATGTAGTATTTCCAAAACTCAATAGTGAGGTGCAGAAATGAAACAAAGAAATTAAATGTATTTTAGCAAGCCACTGAATTGGTCCCAAATAATGTGAGTCATTTTAGCAATTTTCTCTAGGTTAGACTGTATTAATATTTTGTATTGAAGCACCTTCTACAAAAGGATAGCAAAGAACCTCATGTACGTCATCACAGGGCTCGCTCCTGTGCAAGAAGTCAGGAGGTCCGGGAGGGACTGGGGTTGCTGTTTGGCCTCTTCTGTGGGCAGAGGCCTAGGTAGTAGGACTTGGACACAGGGAGGTCAAGGACATGACCACAGTCTGGAAGCAAATCAATAGAGGAAGGTAAAAACAATGCAGACAGGCTTTCTTCAAATCCTGGATATTTCCAAGAAGACTTAAGTCTAAAAGGATAAGCAGCGAGTGAGGAAAGAGGGCAAGATGTGGAGTACTTATATTTATGAAGAGTAACTATCACAAGTCTACCGGGGAGGAAAAAATCTCAAATTTCACAGTATGCTTATGACCTCGCCCTCTGCTACTTTAGAAGCAGCTTCACAAACGCTGATGTTAGATACTTGGCGACAAATTGAGTTTGGCTGATTGTCAGGGCGTTTTAGACTTACCATTTCAATTATTTATACCAACTATCTATCTGAAGCTAGAATTCAATTTGGGAAGATGAATATATCTGTGTGAGTGCGCGTGCGCACGTGCATTTTCTATACTGAGGCCTGCAAAGAAAACCTAGCTGGCGTGATATTTTCAGCTTTTCTTAGAAATTGTAAATGCTTCTAATGGTACTCACCAGATAGCAAGTTCCTTGCTTCTTTAAACTTTTAAGACACCAAAAGAAAAGTACCAAATATTATAGTACATTTATATAGTTTACCCGATAAATTTTACAGAGAGTTTTCTTGAACTGGATCGTCTCCCTAAGAGGATTCAGAAATTTGTCTCTGGCAAATCCCATCTCCCTTTTGACACATAGTGACTAAGATCATTTTTCCCCACAACAGCCCAATTTTCTATCTCCCTGGGAATGCTTTTATCAGGAGAACTTAAGCTATTTACATCAGCATAAATAATCCCGAAGTCATCACAGGCTGCCATGTAAGAGCCTGCAGTACACGTGGCCTCATTGATAGGAAGGAATAGAAAGGGGTCCTGAAGATCCAGGCAGCTTAAAAAAAATCAATGCATCGCAGCGGGTGGCTGAGCATGTATCTGGGATGTACAGCTTGCCTCCTTGTTTCAGGAAGACAAAGCACAGCTTTTATATTTAGCATTTTAACCTTCTAAGAAACTAAACTCCCAGACTGAAAATCCAGGCCTGTGTTGAGTGATACAAAATCAGGAGCTGTATGAACCAACCTCATTCAGTCTGACTGCAGTGTAAAGGCTTCATGACTGTGCTGTTTTATGTCAGACCAGGCAAGTTGCAGTTGCCATGAAATGCAATTTGTCAAGAAACCCACACTTTAAATTAGATTAATAGCCATAACAACATCAAAACCTCCAAAAATCAGGTATCAAGAACCGAAGGCCATTTCCCAAGGACATCATGAAGGCGTCTCTAAACAGGCATGGCTTTGTAAAAAGAGAAAAAAGATTTTAAATGTAGTATCTTCTCACATTATCCTTTACACAGACCTTTATCTGGACAAATCAATTCTTGATCAAAATCCAAGCTCTTTTCAAGACCAGCTACCGTAATTTGGGACAGTGACAAAGAAACATTCATGAATGCACAGAGGTTTTTAAATGGGCTTTTCCTTAGGTCTTTAATCTCAAAATTTTATCCTTTATACGGTAATTCTAAATAATCAGCCTGGAAACAAGTAATGGAAGAATTTAAACTGTAGCTCAGAAAGTAGATTTCTATCTGTGATTCTGATTTGTTTTCGTGAATGCTGGTGATGGCTCATGCAAAAAGTTACTACACAAAAAGCAAAATCTAAGACTGATGTTTCCCCTGATAAATCCAATTGTTTTTTCTAATACAGATTTGTGTCTCAGGATTTAGAATCTTAACCTTCAAATTAAGAGTACCTAAGAGACTGAGTGAAGCCAATCACTGCTTGACTTTTATTTCCAACCAGGAACAATAACATCTGACGTCACCACATTAAAATGTCTCCCTGCTTAATATCAGGAAAAAAATACAGTTTAGACCTAGCTCAATATATCATTTGGTCCGAATTTCATATTCAAACTACCAAAAAAAAAAAAGAAAGCCTTAAAGAGAAAACACATACAGACACACGCACACACACAGTGGGAAAAAAATAAAGCTGATGCTTGCAGCATTTCTTAGCAGGATTATTAGGGAAATGTATAAACACAACACCTTTTCTCTCATATTAACATCTGAAAAGGAAAAATAACCTAAATGTCCACATTTTGGGGAAAAAAGAAGCAAGCGGAGGTCCAGAATTCTTGTAAAAACTGCTGAACAAACTTCATTTTCTCTTAAGAGGTCACCAGGAGAGGCAGTTTCTCAACATTTGTGCTTCATGGCAAGCTAAGGAGAGAAAGGGACACAAGTAAGATGTTATCAGCAGTGGGGAGAGTTCCTTTGCTGCTCCTTCCCCACATCCGCGATGAGAAGCGACACCAAGATTCTTCTTGCTGTGGCAGATCACCATTACAGTGCACTGTGGCACTTAGTAAATGTGCAGCATGTCCCTAAACAGTCCACTGAGCACTGCATTTGTTACTCGTCCTTCCAGTGTTGTTGTTGGTGTATGTGTCCAGGTCAGGGAGCGTGCTACGTGATGTTCCTTCATGCCACTGAAGGAGCAAATGGAAGAGCCAAAGTAGAGGCAGAATGAGTGACCTACCCTAGAAACAAAGGCCTCTGGGCTCCCAGGTTACTAGTTATCCAGGAAGACCAACACTCTCCAAATGTATTTACTGACATCTCGTAAAGTATTAAAAATCACCAACTGTAGAGAAACAAACAAGCTGCAATAATCCACGTGATATCCTGGACATTCAACCAGGTCCAAAGCACTTGACAATTAGACTGTTTTACCAACCAGGACTGAACAATAGACCAAATTCAGACCTTGACTTACTGCTCCCACTGGTATTTGAAAAATGTGGTTTATTGAAATGTTAGATCTTTATAAATGGGAACACCAAATACCACTGTATCATTCAATAGCTTCCCAAGCCCAGCTGGAGCCCCTGATAATATATTTAAGGAAATGCATGCAGGTACAAAACATAAAATTAATCTGACATTGCTTTCCTTAGCCGGATCCCTTCCAAGGAGCCCATATACTGACGCGAGGCAGAAGGCGGGTTTGAGGCTGAATTGTGATCCCCTCATGTGTCTAGAGTCTGGTATTAGGGATTAATCCCTGAGACTGGGGCTGGAGTTACTGGGGGTAGTCACGTCGCTAAGTTAATCTCTACTTGGGCAGCGTCAGCTGGAGGAGCTCCAGGTGCCCGTACCTGGTGAAGCCAGCCTAAGCGAATACCCCCAAGGACCTTTTGCAGTGCTGGTACCACCAGCCAGTCAACTGTCAGATGGTGTTTGTGAAGCCCTGAGCGTGTCCAGGCTGCTGTGCTCAGTGCTGCGGGTGTCAGATGGTGTTTGTGAAGCCCTGAGCGTGTCCAGGCTGCTGTGCTCAGTGCTGTGGGTTTTTGCCAAGAAGGTTAACTCCTGAACTCGAAGAGTTTACAGTCCAGGAAACATGGTGGGTGGAAATGGCAGAGCCAGGGCTCTCTCTCTCAGATCCGTCCCACTCCCTGGCCACACTCTGAGCCCCTCCACTGTATGGCCTCCACTTCTTGCTCTGTCTCTACTTTTAATACATTATTTAGCAATGTGGACCATTCAAATCAACACAGAGCTGGTAAGTGTTGTACATAATGAATACCAACCATAAATATTAGATCAGTGCTGCTGTCCTGTTATTCACTCAGCTGTTAACCTTCAGCTAATGGGCTTTGCCAATTTACCCACAGTCATTAATCCTCAGAAGCAATCGTGTTGCTTCTCACACCAGACCCTGGTTACCTCTCCAGTGCAGCTGGGACTGGCGCTAAGGGGAGCCCCAGCCGGGCGGGGCTGTGCCAGTTCAGCTTTGCAGAAGTACAGATGGATTGGACATTTTGCCATTTGAGGTATTTTTGCATACAGGCGCATCATTTCCACGCTACCTCGTTTCGTTTGTTTTTTTCTTTAACTTCCTGGGAGTTAGAAGCTTTAGAATATGCAAGGCACGATACTGTTGCTTCCCTGCTGCAAATCTGCTGTATGACCTTGAGCTCTAAGTCACAATTGCTCCGTACCTCGGTTTCCTCACATCTATAAATATCATCTCCAACTCAAATGCTTATGGATTAATGTAGATGTCAGAGTTCCTACAGAAGAGAAGTTAAAAACTTCCTTTTGCTATATTTTTGTTTTCTTAATGTTTCATGGAAAGCTTTCTCTTTCAAAGCTGTGTAAATGACTCCATCTAAATTATAATAACAACAATAATAGAAAAAACAACAATGATAGAAGAAGTTGTTACTCATACAGGGGGTATTTTTTTAAGAGGCCTGGACTCTTGAGGTCCCTTCTAGCTCAGACCCACAGGGAGTAGATGACCGTGGTAGGGACAGAGGCAGCCATTCCCTGCCAGTGAGGGATATGCCGCTCACCACTCCCTCCCCTACAAATGTGCGCTTGTGCAGAACAGGGCAGATCACTGTTCTTCTTGGTGGGAAATAAACAGCATCTGAGGATGCCTAGGTGTGGGTATCCCTCTCGCCTGCTGACTCACCAGCCAAGGCAGGTGGCAAAGCACTGCACACACTGCACTGTTGCACTTTCTGAAGCAGAGGTGAGTGAGCAGGCCAGGCCTGCTCTGTGGCTGAGCTGGACTTCCCTAAGGTCTGAGACCATACCAAGCTCATAGTTCAGGAAGGAACCACGCTTCCCAAGCCAGGCTGAACACAGCTGGGGGAGAGGGGTTGCAGACACATTTCCATTGGCTCTGCAGGAGTCAAGCGCCCACATGTCTTGATGGCAGGCTCCTACAAAGGTGATCCACTCACTAACGTACCTGGGTCACGCTAGGAGTCCTGGGAGAATCGAGAAAGCCAGAGATAGCCTCTTCTGTTGCAGTCCAGAAGGTGTGCCCTACTCTCCAGCTGAGGTTGCATGCTCTTGTTCAACCAGGGAGCCCAGAGGAACTGTCACCCAGCACTGCCTTTCTCTGTCAGGGCTCTAACAAGTGCACTGTGTCTCGACGTCTAAACACAGCCCACTCTTTATGAGTCGACAGAGCCATGTTTGGGGAGGCAGTGGTGGAAGGCCTGGGTTCCATCTCTGAGCTCTCTCCTCACCAGTAGGCCTGGTAGGGGCTTGGCCAGTGAAATGACATCTTCACAGACAGCCTACACTAGTGGGACAAATCAGGAGTCCTGGTCCCTGGGAAAATAGCCACACCTTATCTCAAGAGGTCAACCTGCTCCTGAGGAATCCTGCCCATGCTGGTGATTCATAAGCACACATGCCAGACTTGGCAGTTTTAGAAAACTGCAAGTCTGGTTATTATTGTGTCTCTCTCCCACTCCCTCAAACTACAGTAAGAGACACTAGCAGCCCCTCCCCCCCAACCCTTACGCCACCCACAGGAGAGGAAGCCAAAGTAAGTGGAGACTGCCCCCTGCCGCATCCATCTCTACGGAAATAGGTAACTGGCTGGTACCAGTCCTCCCAGTGGTCAAAGCCAGAGACCCCCGTGCCTTTGGTGGCTGAATCAGTTTCTGTTCTGACGGGTCCTGTTTGCAAGGGCTGCTCTGTGTTTAGAAAGTGTCAGCATTCAGCAGGAGGCCCTCCCACCCCCCTTTGGAGGGCACAAAATCTTCACCACCAGTCCCTCCCCACCCCTGTGCTGGGATCCTCAGTCACATTTCTCCAACCCTCTACAGTGCTCACAATGTGATGGACTGGAGCAGGCTCAGCAGAAACCATCTTTATGGAAACAGTTATAACTAATATTAACTGAGGTTTATATGCACCAACTATTGTACTAACCAATTTATAGGTTTGAATGCATTCAATTCTCTCAACAACACCCTAGGAGAAAGGTACTATTATTAGTTAGCCCTATTTTACTGATGAGAAAACTGGGGCTTAGAGAAATTAAGCCCCTGCCCAAGGTCATGGAGTTGCTAAATCAAACACAAGATGTTAACTACCATACCATACTGTCTTCCCAACTACCTAGCAAACTTGGCCACAGTATCAGGGAAACAGGGTGACCAGGGCCAAGAATTCTGGCCATCTGGTTAGGTTATCCAACCCAGTGTTTGTGTGACCTCCTCTGGGGCGGGTAGTGACACGGATGACCTCCAGGTATTGTCTACTCCGCATCAGGAACAATGATTTCACAGACTTCCTTGGTAACCTGGTTCATGGCCTAATCATTAATCTAAACTCTTATTTTAGCAGAATGTTATCAGTGCACCATTGAGCGCTCTATTCTGTATAACAAGACACGAAAGAGAATTGCTGCAATATCGCCCTTCCCAGACTTGAAGACAATTAAAAAATAATTCCTGTAGTCTTTTCTTCTCCAAATCAACACTTTAAATGTTCCCCCAGACTTCCACTGCCCATCCCCCTTTTAAATCACTACAGTTGCTGTTGCTATAAATGAAGTTGGGTAGGAATTCTAACATCTCCACTCCATCATTATTTCTATATCACAAAGGCTGCAGAAGGGATGCGGGGAACCACAATTCTGAGCTTGCTCCCTCTGTGACAGCCGCAGCAAGACAGGCTCTGGCCCCCAGCAGGGCTGCCTGCATTTTCAGCCAGGTTTGAACTCCAAATGGGCCCCTAAGGCAGCAGTACAGTAAGACACTGTCATGATAGGGAACTGATGACACGAGACAGGTCCGTGCAGAGGGCACGCAGGAAGGGCAGGCTAGATGCATCCACTCAGATCTGGATCTGCAGTCGGGCCTGGGCTTAAGCCTCGGGAGAGGGGCCAGCCTGGCTGAGCTGGGGAGATTTTTCCCGTTGCTTTTCAGGTTGTCCATTCTTGGTTCCTCAGCAAAAGCGGGGTTTTCTTTTGAAGCACATTAATTTTTTCCCCAAAGGTCACCTGAAAAGCCTATCTTGAAAGGCCAGATCATGAGTCTGACATGCCAACAGTTATCAGCAAAAGTTGTTTCTGGAAACCTAAATTCAAAATCACTAGCCAGAAAGGAGCTGCCCTTTGATCCAAAGTACAAGAACAGTAATAAATCCTCTTTTATCACCTGACAAACAGGGCTTCTCTTTCCTTTGGTCTGTGACTGCCTTAGATAGCTGGCTGCCAATAAAAACTCCCCCTTCCCCTTCTGAAAGGCACATTTTCAGTGCATGTGTACACCTGAGGCATGTGGAAAACACCATTCTCTGGACCCAGAGGCAGGTGGGAATTTTGCAGGCAGCTCTGCACTAGTCAGGTCAGCCTTAGGAGGTCCAAGGCCCCTCCACAGGGGAAACTAGCCCTGAGGTGCCCTGGGACTAGAATTTGCTTCTTTGTATAGTAAAGAGATAAGAACACAGGATGCGAGGCTCATGACCAGAAAGGGACAGCGTGGAAAAGTAAGCACAAGAGCCCACAGTCCTCTTTCAAGCACTGGCTAACAGAGGAGGGATATTCTTACACCTGTCCTACCCCCACCCCCATCCTGTTCCCAGAAATGGGAGCCTTAAACTTCTGGGTAGGAAGTAAAGATGGTCCACATTTCCCAAAGATACGGGGTCAGAGACAGGGATGAAGACAGCAGAAACGAGATAACCAAAGAAACAGGTCCAAGAAGAAATCTTCCCAACTCTTGTACTCACTAAGTAGCGGAAGGAAACTGTATACAGGGGCCAAAAAAAAGGCTTGACTTTGTGCCTCCCCCCTGGGAAACACACTGAAATAAAGTTTTGGGCACCAAAGCTCCCTGACAACCCAGAGCTGAGCCCTCGGCCGCGCTGCGGGACCCACCTTGTGTGCAGTTTCTGCAAACTGCTGGGCGCTGTTCTTCATGTCTTCCGTCTTCTCCTCTGCGCGGCCTAAGCGCTCCCCGCGCTCGTTCAAGGCCTGGCTGGCTTTCTGCACTGCACTGGTCACGCTGTCGGCCGCTGAATGGAGGATGCTGTTTCCTGAAACGGGACAGGAAGAGCATCAGAAGCTGGCTCGGCTGACCTACAGTGACACCCCCGCCCAGGGTGAGCACCCCGAAAAAGCAAGGTGGGTCAGACTCTGGAAAGGCCTTGAGTGTCTAGGAAACAAGTCAACTTTTCTTCCGACTTGGTCTGACTGACTCACTTTTAGGAAGAATACCCACTGACTGTAGGACCTGGGCAAGTGCTGAAGGCTTCTTTCGCAGCCCCATCACTGACAGCACTCACTTCCGTTCTACCGGCATTCTGTTTGGTGAGGCTCAGAAGAGCGGGGTCCATCTGAATTTAGGACTTGGCTTGCAAAGGTAGATGGGAACCCTAACAAGTCCATAGAATTAGGCAAGTTCAGTGAGACATATCTGGATCATATGAGCATTTCCTCTTGACCTGGGGTTTAGATGGATAACCACAGGAAAATTGGGAGTACAGAACTTCTCCAGATATGATGCTCTGTATTCCTTTCAACTGTTCCCTTCCATTTTACTCCTTCACCCCTATATGCACAGCCCCACGTAAGAAGCTATCGATCAGTCTCAAAGTTCAGAGGAGATACGTCAGTTCCCAACCTTGAATCCCGACCCATGGCCTGGATGGTTGGTCCTCTTTGCCTCTGATCTCAAGTATATGAAATGTGGGGCCTCAGCACTGTACTTCTAGCCAGCAGGTGAAACACAGTGACAGAAGCCTGTCCTAGAAGGAACCTGGCACTCCCAGATTCATGAATGATGATACTGAGAAAGTTGAAAACCATCACATTTCAAATGGTTATGCATCCCTGACATCCCATGTACCAGGACTGGAAAAGAGAATCCAACAGTGACGAACTGGCAGGTGCATAACCCATGGAGACCTAGAAACTTGCCAGATTACAACCAAAGGAGATTTATAGCTGTGTTTCGTTCATGCTGAGTGGGAGATAGTTAAATGGCATTTTATATAACAGCTGTATGTCTTTGAATAAGTTTTTATTACATCATTTAGCTTTGTACCTGGGATGGATGCATCTAGCCACAGACAGCTTTTAATAGAAACGTAATTTCCACGGTCTCAGCTGCAAAGGCTTCCTCATTTCTCCTCTGTGGGAACAGTCTGTGGTTTGTGGAAAAGGATCTCAGGCAAAGAAAGTGCCTGCCCCAGAGGAAGCACCTTGTAAATCGTTTGCCACTTTTCTTCTTTAGGGGTGGATTTCAAGGGCTTCCACTCTGCACTAAGGGGAGGAGAATGGAGTCAGCTTACTGTTTCTCAGCTGCACCAACCACTGCTGGAGCCGAGATAAGCCAGCACAGGTTAACAGAGGAGATGTGGCTCTGGAGAAACTGGCTGAATGCAAGGGTTGGAATGGAAGGTCTGTCTTGGTCTTCAGAACAGATTTAGGAGGAGAAATCTGGGTTCCCATTTGCTTTCACATCATGGTTATGATTATAGCCTATCACCACTGCTTAATATTTGAATAGCATTTTGCAATCATAAAGCATCTTTACAAATATTGTCTCATTTGATTTTCACAGAAATTCTACTGAGAAGACTGAGACTAGGTGAGGTTCAGGGCTTCCACAAGATCGTGTCACTAGGGAAGTGACATAGCTAGCACTGGAACCTGGTTTCCCAATGCCTTTTCCTTATTCTGTACCTTCCTCTCTGCAGGTGTGGCGTTGGTCATGGAAAGCAATTACTATGACAGAATTGTGAGAAAGCCAGCATAGATAGGTTTTGACAGGTTATTTCCCAAGGTAATGCCTGACTGTTTCTGTCCTAAAGAAACCTATTCCTCTCGGTAAATGAAGACTTATTGCCTAAGCTGCATTGCAAGCCAGGTGCTCCCAAGAAGGAACAGGCCAAGGGGAAAGAATAAGACAGTGAAGGGACTGAAGGTGCAGAGGAGTTGGGGGAGGGCACAAGAAAATCTCCCCTTCCTGCTTCCTTCCACATGCCCACAGCTTAGCCGCCAGAGGCTAGAGAAAAGATGGGGCAGGGTACCTGCAACTCCACAGCCAGGAACAGCTGCATTAAACCAAAGGGATTTTAGAATTAGTTATCATAAAATCAAGAGGGTATATAACCAGGATAGGTTTTCTCCCCATCGGAACTGACCCTCATGGTGCCCTCAAAGTGAGACACATCTGTGTTTCTAGAATGAATCTGCTTTGTGTGAGCCATACTGTTTTCCTGTCATGACTTTCTTAATCTTGTACAGACGTCAGATCAACACTGTACCCAGTTTTATATGATATTGTTTAACCAAGACTTGTTATAACTAAAAGAGAACCAAATGCTGTCTTCATTATTCAGTGATGACACTGCTGACCACTATCAATAAAAAATCCACCTTCAGTTATTTTCAGCCATGAGGATGGATTTGAACAAATCTCATCACCTCAGTTGAAATGTCCTCCCCTGGTTTCAATTCTACCTGTATTTCAGGCTCAGTGAAGTCCCATCGCCTTTATCAAGGTTCAGGTCAGTTACATTCTCTTCTCAACTTTGTAAGAGCTGTCTGTATCCTTCTTGGGTGACTGATCAAGTACAGTCATGGGCAACTCTTCTACCTCATTTCTTCACCCATAGATGCGATGACTTCCCAGCTGGATTATATATTCCCTGAGGGCACCTTTCGCTCTGCTGACCATTCCCTAAATCCTGAATCTTCCTCCTCTAGATTCGGGTCTCCCGCTTGCTTGCTCTATTCTCTCTGATATCTTGCAAATGCTGTAATTCCAGGGTTCTGTCCTTGGCCCTCTTCTCTTTCTCATTCTGCAGACTCTCCCTAGGACAATTCTACTCAGCTCATGGCTTCAATGACCAAATTTTTGCTTTTTTCTAGGTTGTGCTGCTGAGGCTCCAGACCCACGTTTTCTTACTGGGCAACTTCAGGTGAGTCACCGAAAATCATCTTGAATTCGGTATGTCTACACCTGACCCCATTATCACACCTGCTTTTCCTTTGGGGTCCCCTGCTCAGTCAGTAACTCCCCTATCTGCCCAGCTTTCTCCTCAATTCAGAAATCTGGGAGCCCAGTCCAGATTCCTCCCTCACTTTTACCACATATGACTACAAGTCACCTGCTGTCCGGCCCTCTACTCTCCGCCCTCTTTGCCAGCTTCATTATCTCTCTATGGATCCAGTCCCTCTTGCCTTCAGAGATACAGCAATAGCCTTTTGTTGTTAGGTGGCCCCACACCTTTTCTGGTTCATCTTCCACACATTTCTGTAGTACACTTTTAAAAAGGCAAATTTGTTACCATCTTCTCACTGCTTCCAAGAAAAAATTGAGAACTTTGCCCTGCCTCACTCTCGGCTTATCTTAGAACCTCATCCATTTCTCCTCTCCCTAGTGATCTCCAATCCCACGCCTTGCCAAATTACCTAAACTTTCGCAGATGTGTCATGTTTCTTTTACCTGTATGCCTTTGTGCTTACTGCTACCTCTGTGTGAACTCTGAGTCTCATCTTAGCCTTCCCACTTACTCCTATGTGCTTCAGTACACTTCAGACCCCTTTCCTAGGAAAGACTGTCATGTCTAGCCCACCCTAAACCATTGTTGCCCCCAACATACACAGTATCTTGTGTCTATTTCAAATGGTGCATTTATCATAATGCATGTAATTGCTGGGTATCTAGTGTGAGCTCCTTGAAGGCAGGGGCTGGGCCTTTCTCACTTTTGTATTTGCAATTCCTGGCACATAGGAGAGACTCAATAAATGTTGGTTGGCTTAGAGGCAGGAAAAATATATCATCCTTCTAATGATTTCTCCATGGCTTAGCAGAGGGTTGGACACATGACTGATGCTGTTACATGATCTAACTAGGTCTTCAAATTCTAAATTTGCCAAATGACTAAGGGTTTAGTCTGTGTCTAATGAAGCCAGCTATCTCACCTGGAGATTGTTGCAGGAATTCAATGAATTAAGTCAACAACAAAATGCAAAAAGGGGAATGCTTTTGCTGTAGTGAAAGCAAAGAGAAAGTTGGTAAAAAATCTGTTGTTACCAGCCTTAAAATAAACAACTACAAGGTATAAAAATAACAGAAGTTAAATAGCCTTTAAATCCAATGCAAGAATAGCAGTTGCCTGACCACTTACTATGTTCTAGGCACTTACTAAAATCTGCTCCTCACAACAGCCTTATGCGATGGCACATCACTGATCCCATTTTTACCAATGCGAGCACCAACGGAGAGAGAGAGGGGGTTAGCAGTGCACCAAGGATCCCACAGTAAGTGAAGAGCAGAGCTAGGTTTTGAACTCAGGAAGCCCAGCTCCAGAGCCAGTTCTCTTACTCACTGTTATATTGGCTCTCCATGGGAATTTTCTGGTATTTGAGATTAATACAGTCTGCATTAACTGTAAGGAATGAAGACTTCAGTGTAGCAGTTCCTAAAGCATTTCTTAACGCCGTAATACAAAAGAAAACATCGTCATTATTACAAGCTAAAACAATTGACTATAGAAAATTTAGAATACATATTACTATAAAAAGGCAATAAAATCGCGTAGTATTCAATTGCTTAGAGATAACCACATTTACATTTATGGTACATTTTATTCTAGTAATTTTTCTGTCTATGTTTTTCTAAAACGTGGTTGTGGCCATACTATATATATTTAGTACTGTATCCTATTGTGGGTACTTTCCCATGCCATGGAAAATTCTTTGAAAATACTGTTTATAATGGCTACATAACACTGTTGTAATTTATTCAGTTATTTCCCGTTTCATTATTGGGTGCGTGTTCAAAAGTGTCCATCCTTCCTTCCTTCCGTGCACACCATTATATTTCAACTTCTGTATACACTGCAGTGTGCTCACCACCAAAAGCTTAGTTTCCATCTGTCACCATTACAGTTGACCCCCTTTTTATCCATTTCATCCTCCTCCGACCCCCTTCCTCTCTGGTAGCCACTACTCTGTTCTTTGTATCTATGTATCTGTTTTCCTTTTGTTTGGCTTGTTCATTTTTTTAAAAATTAATTTTAAC